TGTTCTGTACACCACAAGTAGTATTTGGGATACTACTGAGCAATTGGCAGCCTCAGCCTCTTAATCACTGCACTCTGCCATTATTAAAAATTATTTTTATTTGAAACAGAACAGGAAATATAGGCATTTAAATAAATTATGAATACCAGGAGAACCTGGACTTCTCACTGATTAGCCCCAGTTGATCATCATCTTCTTGACTTTTTTTCATCATTTCCAATTCTCCTAGCATTTCATCACCATCTGCATCTTGTTGGCCTGCTAATTCTTATTCCCTTTCACACCTGCACAAATGCACACAAACACACACACATACTCACTACTTACAGGCAGGGTTGCCTTCATGAAGGGAACAAAATCTTTTGATAGCTGATCTGGATAAAGGTCTCTCTTCTTAGCCTTTGTCCACTATTTCTGTCTTCATTATTGTTGCATATAAGAATATGTACAGCTATATAATGTACAGTTCATCTGGTTAGTTTCTGTTTCACAAATGTGTACAATACATTGATAATACAAATGTTACATGATAAATTATTTTTCTTGTGAATCTGGATAGAGTGCCTGTCTCAATTTGGGACAGTTTGTGAGATCAACAGCACATGTGATGCAAATAGATTTAGTTACTGCAGAAGAATGGATGAATCTTCAACAACCCTAAGTATACTATTTCATAATTTCCTACCATCTTTATCTCTGGAAAATATATGCATGGTTTTTTTCCAGACACATCAGAAAAAAAACACCTCTTCCTAGAATTTTTCTAGAATTACCTTTCCCAAACTAGAATAACCCTCTAGAATAATTTTTACTCTCTAGCTGGATTGTAAATCCAAGAATTTACACCAACATGATAATTAGTCTTGTTTGTTAGGAATTTGGTAAACTGTAATCCAACACATCTAGAGGGTATCAGCATTCATAACATAAACAGTATGATCAAGCTTTAAGCTCTCAAGACAAATTTAAAGTCCAGATTTATTGATGTGCATGTTCTGCATTAATTTAAATGGGGGAGCATCACTCATAAATAATATAAGACTGAAGTGGGGACAAATCTAGCTGTTTTATTGTTGGGTTGGGTTGGGTTGGGTTTGCTTGCCTTTTTTTTTCTTTTCCCTATAGTGATGCAGGAATTCTCCTGCTACCCGATAGTCTAGCTCCCTTCATTTTTTTTTTCTAAGACCAGAAAACATCTTCCCATTTCATAGGACATTTGGATATTGTTGATAGATGATTCAAAAATAGGAGTTTGTCTGTCCCTCCAACCTACCTCTTATTAGCTCTACAACCCAAAGCCTCTTTTGCCTGTTCTGTTCAAATATGGTCCTTCATAGCCTCTCCTATCAGTTGTTATGTAGGATTTCCATTGTCTACTTCTAAGAACAGCCATTGAAGATAAATAAATGTTACTCTTCCAATCTTAGGAACTCTCAGAAGCCTTTGACCGGCAAATATTTGCTATTAAATATATATCCACTCAGGTCACTGGGACACTGCTCCAGCAGGTACTGGCTGCCCAGTGTTCTGATGCACACTCCCTTACTTACAGCCATTCCCAGTCTTGCTTTGTCTTTGTGCTCCTCAGCAGGCAGTGGTCTCTCCCACAAGCAAAGGTATTTGGTGCTCTCTTGCTTAAACATGCAGGATGCTGCTCATGGTGATGGTGATGGCCGGTGAAGAAACAATGGGAAGAATAAGAATAACAGGTGAATAAAAATGAAAGAAAAGTTAGAGGATTTTGATAAAGTCCACTAACTTTTCAGGGATTGAGAAGGATATTAAGAGTTTTCATAGTGGTGCCTGGACATATGCTCTGGTTTGGTTTAACTAGGTTGCTGCTGTTTTTGTCCTTGATTCATGATACCTGCAACAGTTGTTCTCCTGCTGTATTTATATTCTGGTAAGGGAAGAGCAGGGCAAAAGCATTGCTGATCTTGCTTCATTTATTATTATTCTGTTTTTTCCATGGCATTGTCCTTCAGATGGGAGGAAACATGTTTAGAGCAATTACATCATCATCATCATCATCATCATCATCATCATCATCATCATTATTATTATTATTATTATTATTTTGAGGGGGACTGGAAATACCTTTTAGCATTCAGGAGGAATAAAACACTTCTAACACCTGCAAGGAGTAAGAGTCAGCAGTTGCCATTCCCATCAGCATTCAGGAAAATGTATTAAGTAGCCAAGAAAAGAAGAGAAAACTATTATGAAGTCATGCCATCAGTCAGCAGTTGTGACAAAGTGGAACATCAGCTATTCCTGCACTTTTGCCTGTGCATAGAATATAGGATGGAAGGTGCTACAGTATTTAATATTTGTGCTGCTTCGAACATGAATCATGTTGTCAGAACTCTCTTAACTTTCAATATAAATTCTCTGTCTTGAAAAGCGAAGTTCAGCCTCACAGTTATAGACGTATTCCAGCATGTAGCTCCCAACCTACAAAAGGCTCAGAAAACAGAACACCTGTTTCTTGCTGCCCTCTGCCGTCCACTGAGAGGGAAAAAAAACACTGACATGCCCCAAATGCTAGATCTTTAAATTGTATATTTAAAGATGCTCTAAAGAGAGAAATATAGCTCACAACTCTAAATAACACACAAGAAGCCTGACTGAAGATAAGGAATTGAGCTTGCAGAAACCTCCTTTCAGCTGCCATTGCTTGCTTCATGAATTATCAGCATTAGAGGCAAATCAGGGAGCTGGAGAAATGCTATTTAATTGGCAATAAAAGATATTGTGTATTACATTTTATACCATCCTTCCTCCATGAAGAAAATCAAGTCTGAGTGAGGTTTGAAATATATTCAGTATAGGTTCTAATCTCAAGCATGTTGGAGAATGGATTAGTTCTGATATACTTTTGTAAGGGGATTTATAATGGATATCTAGGTTTATTTTCAGTCGTTAAACTGTTGGTAAGCACTAATTGAGTGGCTGAGTATCATGTAGTTATCCTGAACACTGTGTGTGGCTCCTCTCTTTCCATCCTGCTTTTTACAAGTACACAGAACCACTTTCCACACAGAGGACCCATCAGTATTATGGGGAGATTTTTTTTTTTAACTTTGGCTCAAGGTTTAGAGATGTTTGAGTGGTTGTTATACTACTACTATATGCTTGGCTTTAAAATGTAGAATTAACACACTTTGCTTGGGTGGTCCAAGTAGAGCTCCAAATCGTGTCCATCTAATTATCACCAGTTGTCTAACATTTGTAACACATTCTAAAAAGGAAACAATTTATTTTTTAAAAAAACATGAGAATCTTTTATTACTCGTATATCCATAAAAGTCCATAAAAGTTACAAGAATTGCATAATAAAACTTATATGTTTTTTTTTATTTTAAGTACATTGCATTTTTTGTAGTGTGTGCATGCACCACAACTATTTGGAGGACAGGCTGGAAAGGAGGAATCCAGTCAGTGTGTGACAACTCTCAGATCAAATCTCATTTCACCATGAAATCCCCCTTCTCCACTCCTTTGTTTTTGTTCCACCTTCTTCCCTTCCTATTATGCATGTTTAATGTTGGTATGTCATCAGAGTGACATCATTTCTGACACTTTCATCAGTGTGTGCCTTTTCCTTCCCTTTTTCCTTCACAACTGTTCCAGACTGATCGCATAAATCCAGATGACATAGATTTAGAAAATGAACCCTGGTATAAATTCTTTTCAGAACTGGAGTTTGGACGTCCGGTAAGTGAGGCTAGAATACTAATATATCAGTTTTAGGAATTGGACCAATTCACACATTTCTCGAGTAAAAACCCTAGATTCTGAAAGTGCATTCAGAAAGGAATAATTACTGCAATTGTATTTGGAATATATGTTTCTGTGTTGCAGGTGTCATATATAAATTTCATTGGTGGGGTGGGGAGAGTTCCTATAGGGATGCTTAAGAATAGCTCGATGGTGGTTCACTAATAAACTACTTCTTATATGTTTGCTGAAGAAGCTTTTTAACTTTACAAGAAACTGATAATAATCAATTCTTTGGACTGAGTGAGCATTCAAGCTACATACTAAAAGCTAGACAAATAGCACCTTGTGTTACTAGCTATCATCTAATTTAGATTTAACAGAGAATAATTATTACTATAGTCTAGTGCAAAGTTATATGGAGTCTTGCCCTGCAGAAATAAACCAAAATTTAAAGAGAATAAATATTCACTCTCTGAAAAGAAACTCTTCTTTTTTTGGTATTATCAAGCATCAGCCCTCCACTTTTATTATCTTTCTAGATATAAATAGAATACACAATGCCATTGCCATCTGCAGATTTTGTAGAACCCATTGCCATTTGGTATACAACTGCCTTGTGCTTCTGTGATAGCACTGCTGTTATGAGGTGTGAAGGAAACTATTAGCACCAAAAATGTGCAATTTTTTGATGGATGTTAAGCATAAGCTGCCCAGGTTTGAGGGCAAAACTATGAAACAGCACAGCTGCTAGAAGCTAGGACAGTTCTGTGTATCAGGAATTGTTGAGGAACAGGTCTCAAACTGAACTTAGGTACTCCTCAGTCCTCTGTGGGAAGGTAATAAGACCAATTTTTGGTCGCATTTTCAGTAATGCTTACTGAAATAATAATGCTTACAATAGCCAGACAATCTTGAATTTGGAAAGTTACATAATTATTTCTTGTGATTCATAATCATAACACAAGATGTTACAGAGAAGCCCTCCATCATCCTTCCGCTTTGTCCATCTACCACCAAACTAAGCAAGAATCTCGCACAAATTCAGCTTTCTTAGCCATAAAGAGAAAAATCCAATCAGAACAACACTAACAAATATGAAAGCTCCCTTGGGAACCCTACCAAAAGAAATAGATGCCTATTTCTCACAAACGAAAGATAACTTTGAACAGTCATTAACGACTCATCTTTTGACAGTTTCATTGTTAATTGTCTACCAAAGACCTTTCAATTTCTCAAAAGCTGCTGCTTCCTCTGCAACAACCATCTCAGTGCAACCTGTGGCCAAACTAGGTATTCTGGTAAATTCAGCCTCTACTGGAAATCACAGCAAAGTTCTGCCTTGCACTTTTCTGTATCCTTACTTATTACAATCACCCACCTATCTCTGCCCCCTTTATATAAATGGCTTCCATGTATCAGGAAGATAAGGGATGTTCTTCTAGACATTACAGAGAGGAATGGGGAAACATATTCTCAGTGCTATTCTGATGATAGCTGTCCATTTACTTTGGTCTCTGGATCTCAGTGTACTTTGACCCTAAATCTCAAACATACCATTTCCAGATATGTACTGTAACAATTTGCTATGTTGAAGGAATTATTTTAAGCAGTTACGCTCTATTCTTTATTTTCCAGCAGCCTAGCCTAATTATACTAGTATTTTTTATCTGGTCTTGGAAAGAGGTGTTTGTTACAATTCACCCCATGACCTGAAATACATTCCATCATGAGTGCTTCCATGCCAGACCCAACTTCTCTTCAGGTCTAACCCAGTGAATGAAGACAATCAGAATAGCGGAACGTGGATTGTTTGTATCCATAATTTCCCAGAAAGCATCAGCCTCACTCAAAACACAGCAAAGCCTCAAACAGGATCAAGTGATTATATTCTCTCCTTCCCCGCCCCCATCATTCTTCCATCTTTCCCAATTTAATGCTGTTGGATTTGGGGATGTTGTGTTTTCCTTTTGTTTTTTACCTAAGGCTTTACTAACAGTGGAAGGTTTATTAAAATAGTTGGTTAGCTACTATCACATATTCTTTACCTGAGTCTGATCCTCCCATTTTGTTGCATTTTACCACTCTTGTAATCTGTCAACACTCAGTTTCTAACTATGTCACCTTCTCCACATGTTTCATTCCTTGCTGCCATTGATTCTCCTCCATTTCATCTCGCAATTCTGCTTATATGATGCAGCCTCCTAAAAAGCTTTTGGATTATGTTCAAGACAATCCTCCAGGTCTTTCCAAAGAGGTAAATCAGCATGTTTCTTCTATAGATGGTTAAATTTGGGAAAAACATGAATATTGAAGTCATGAATTTTCTCTGGTTTAATTGCTAGTATATTCTGTTCACCTACATATTATTCTGCAAAACTCCTTCTAATTATACAATTATAACTTTGTTCTTTTTTCTAGCGCATACACAAATGCCCAGCTACAATGCCAGAAATATGAAATATCTTTCAATGAGAACATAACAGCGCTCTTCTTATTTTATTTATTTATTTACAGAACTTACACTATTATCTCATATAATAATCCTGGGTGGCTCACAACAATCAATAAAAACAAGGATAAAAACAAAATCACCCTTTCCCCAGGCACCAGACCAAACAAACTCCCAGCTCAACCCAGTTTATCACAAGACTTTGACTTCGGCAACACTTTTGAACAGAAAGAATATAACAATTACCTTTGCTGAATGGAAGGTAATTTGGGATAGAAAAATCCTCATTTCCATAACCATCTAACAATAAGCATTGCTGCTGCACTAGGAGATGGGAAACGGGAGGGAAATGACAAATGATAGGTGTTATTAATCTGTTTTCTGCTATTTGAACAAAATACTACACTGGGACATTAGAGAGACATGAATTTAAGGCGTCATGTTATGTCTACTCATTAATCTAGCCGTACATTTGAGGTTCCATCAGGGTGTATAAACTACCTACAGTAATCTGCTGGGAATTGGGAGAGTGGATTACTAATTCCAAAAGTCTTAATACTGGTTTAGAATCCAAAATTGATATAACCAGAAGAGAATTAAGAATTTAAAAGTAATATAAAAATGAATTTATGATGGATTCCACAAACTTTATCTTTATTTTCTGCAATGATTTTAGATACTCAGTGGTTCACATCTTTTGGCTGGCTTTACTAAGTTATGGAAAGTTTCTAGACACAAGGACTTTTTTCCCTCTGTGTGTGTGTTAGTCCCTATAATTTGAAATGCTTTAGGGCCTATCTTGTATCTGGAGTGATAACTTAATTTACATCTGATTCTACTCATGTTTTTTAACAAAGTATACTTGTGGCAATTTAAACATCAGAATAATAAAGGATAAAAAATGGAATATAGTCTAAAAATAAAAAATAACAGAATAGGTATAGCACTTTAAAACAACAATTTCACAATAATTTACCTGTCTCCAATTGTCTATGCCTGTCTGGTAAAATCTTACACTCTTGTGGGACCCAGGAGGCATTCCTTCTCTGTCACTGGATCTTCCATCTGGAATAGCATTTTCCCCAAGGTCCATGCAGCCCAACCCTGCCTTCTTCTAGAGAGCTTTGAGAACCTGGCTTTTTCCACAGGCAGTGGTACAGGACAGAATATCATGTGAGCCCACTACTGAGTTTGAACTGTTTATTGTTAATTGTTGTGGATTCCTCCCCACCCTGCCCCCAGGCATGCCCATTCCTAGTCTTAATTTGTCTATATTGTTATTTTTAACCTTTTTAAGCCTCCCAGAGTTATGTACAAATGGATAGTCATAGAAATCAAATCAATAAACAGTTCAAAAACATTGCATCTACAAAGAAATAAGAACTTACTGTAGATCCAGAACATCAGGATTGTGGGAGTCTTAATGAAGATACTGAAAGACCTTATTTAGTCTACAATGGAAAAGTTATAGTACAACTTTTATTGATGACAAATAAAATACTTTTGTAATGAATACATTTTATTGATTACTAGAAGTATCTAAGTTAAATGCAGCCTAATTATCTTCAGAATACTAACCATAGTTGCTGCACAGTGATGCTTCACTGCAATTTAACTTGCCAAATTTGAAAAAGGAGATAGCATTTCTCCAATCTTTTTTGTTTTTTAGTTTGGATGTTTTGATTATTATGGAACGTTGATCTTTCTGGCATCAGGTGAATTAGTTTTCCTTAAAAACTCAGCATTTTTAAAGAACCCAAATCAGTTTTCTTCAATAGTATTGCACAGTTTCCATTTGCATACCCAAGAAATAAAACTAATAGGTGTGTTACGTCTCCAGTAGATTTCATATACCTCTATGATAATAAAACACCTTCAATATATATCTGGATAATGAGGAACATCTTAAGCCATTTTGGTCGTCTTTCTATAAAGTACTTCTTCACAGACTATGTTCTTCAGGCTTTCCAACTGCATGTCTGTAATTAGCTTACAGAGCAAAATATGCACCTTTATTGGGCAGTTTAGAGAGTTAAGAGCAATTTTCAGGGTGGATCTTGCTGATATTTTCTGTCCATCTGAACCCAAGAATACCAACTCACTCTGCCTAAAGCCAGTCTTGTCTACTGGATATCCCTGAAGCATACATAGGAGAGATTTTCACAAAGAATTCCAAGAGGCTGGTGCACAAAAGCCAAAATGGAAAGAAAATGATGAACTCAGCTTCTATCCCATATAAGACAAGCATTTATCATCTGGACTCTTTATGTAAACTGCAATAGTCAAAGAATGAATTTGAGAACTTTGTATTAAAAGGCCTACTAATATGTATAATGGTCTTTCTAATAAAAGTACTAAATTGAGACTGTGTTCATGAGCTCTTCATGAGCTCTTCTTAAAGGCTTGTGTTCCAAATTCTTTTTTTAATAGTTGATTTTGCCTTTTAAAAACGGCTAGGTTTAGTGTATATTTCTGAAAACCCAGTCTGACCAATGTCTACCTGCGTGCTACAATTTGAATACAGAATTACATTCTCATACATCTTCTGCAGATACAATTTGCAGAGTAATGCTGAATAAAGTCCAAAGAATTTCATGCAAATAAAAAACAAATATTCTTGGAGATGTGTGTAATGCAATTATAAAATACTTTCTCTGCAAATTTTACTGCCATTATCTTCTTATTTAATGCTGTCTAACTTTGCTTAAATCTGTTTCAAAACTAGTTCCCTGCTAATATAGAAATGCTTTACTCCATAACTTGGTACACTTTAAATTAACCTGAACTTCTTTTCAATGTTGATCATTTAGTTTTCAAACAAATTTCATGAAATATATTCACATTTTTTTTAAAAAAAGCAAATTTCTCTTCTTATTACTATTGCCATTATTTTATTTACTTATTTCTTTGTTGTTGTTAATATATTAATATAGCCATATTGATATTTTTCACAAAGTGTTTCTGGGTTTATAAAGGGAATTAGAGCTATCCTACCAGGCAAAGTATACAGCCCGTTCAACTGGCAGAGATTATATTGCAGCCTCCTGAACTTTCCTTTTTAATAGAAAAGGGGAGTTCCACACCCCTGAATTTGCCTGTCTTAGGTGCAATAGTGGACATTCTCCTAACCCAAGCAATGAAGTAACATTTGTCAGTCCATACTGCTTCTATTGGTAGAATCGCACTGAAATCATCTTTGTCCTTTGCCTCAAATAAAATGACTTAGACCACCCTGAGAGGAAATAATGTTTGACAGTAAGATAAATGTGTATGTCAAGAAATACCTATGCTAAGAGTTTGTTTTCAGATATCAACTTATGGGTTGTTTTACTAGGGAAGAACTGTAGCTCTGCTGTAGAGTGTAAGTTTTGTCTTAAGAAGTTTAATTCCTAGCACCTCCAGTTAGAAGGAGCAGGTAACAAGTGATAGAAGGGGAAATCCTGCCTCACAGAAACCCTGCAGTGTTGTTGCTAGCCCTGGTGGACAGGACTGGGATACAGTTCACCAGCTCCCACAGTAAAATTCCAGTGGTTTTCTGCACAAATGCAATGCAATACTGGTTTAGGGGCTGTAATGCAATTTAAAGCAATGTCTTTCTATATGTTTTCCACAATGCTTTTGCTTTTGTACAAAGAACAGTACAGGTTGTCCCTGGGTTAAGAATCCCCGGGTTACAGACACCCATAGTTAAGGACAGAGCCTATTGTAGCAAAATTCGAGTTAAATATACAATGGTTTGAGTTCATTACACAATACTACTTGTACAATATTATACAGTAATACTTCCGTCTTACATACAAATTTGGCTTAAGGACCTTGGGAACGGAACTCATTTTTAAACTGGGGACTATCTGTAGTTCAGAGTTTGAAATTTTGATTGTGATTTCTCAAATAATCTCTGAAATGACATGACCTGAACATAAAATATGTGTACCGTGAATGACACAGGTGGTTTATGTATATGACAAGCTGTCCCTGACATGAGATTCTTCTTTTTCCAACCCCTGCTAGTTATATAGATAGTCCTCACCTAATGATGGTAACTGGGACAGCAACTCTGTCACTAAGTGATGCGGTCGTAAAGGGTAATGTCACATGACCGCTCTGACTTACAATGGCAGTTGTGGCAGTTCCAGTTGCTGTTGTTAAGCAAATCCCACATAGTCATTAGGCATGACATCATGTGATTGCCATTTGCAACCTTCTGCTGGCTTCCCCATTGACTTTGCTTGTCAGAAGCTAGCAGTGAAGGTCACAAATGGTGATCACGTGATTGTGGGATGCTGCAACTGACATAATTACAAGCCGGTTGCCAAGCGCCCGAATCGCGATCATGTGAATGGGGGATGCTGCGATGGCCGCAACTATGAGAATCAGTCATAAGCTTCCTCGTTCAGTACTGTCGTAACTTTGAATGGTTGCTGAACAAGTGGTTGTTAAACAAGGACTACCTGTATATATATCTATTCCAAGTTTTAACAACTGCTAATGCTGGATTAAAAATGGTTGTTACTAAAGTCTGAATTTATATTGACAAGTTTAAAGTATTTGCATTCCCATGTATCACTTTAATTTCACTCCTGTTGCAAAGCAAAATCTTTAAGTTGGGGAAACCAAATTGTGTGCTTAAGATGAAGTTTAAAAGGTCAACAAATGGCATTGTAAATTACAGATGTTTAAGCTATGTTCGCAGAGAATTTCCATCTTGATTTGACATTAATATTGTGGCAAGTAATACCTTGTAATTTTTAATTACTGTTTTTTCATTGATACAGTTTCCAATACTATACAATATAGGGATATAAAGTTTAATTTGGGAAACTGACTGAAAAAAATGCTGCTGGACATTAGGTCCAACATTAAAAACAGTGTTTGAAATGAGCTTTGATAGCTACCTAAATTTTAATTACATAGTTAATAATACTAATGTTTTTGAGAGTCTTCAAACAGTCAATATATAATGTTTTGTTGTGAATATTTTTGGAATTCAATATAAGATGCTTGTTTATTTCTTCAGACCTCTTTATATTACGGTCCAACAGACAGAGGCATGGACAGACCTTCTAGGTAAGAGAAATCAAATATATAAATATAAGTAGGAAGAAAAAAGCTCTTTCAAATTGTGAAAAACCTCTTGCTTATCCTGATGGAATGTGGAATTTTGGAATAAAGAAACATTATGCATGCCCCAGAATTTATCTTAACAACTAGTTAAGGTCAATTCTGGGGCATGCATAATAATTCTTTATTCCAAAATCCCCCATTCCATCCATCCTTAGAACAGTTCTTATAGTATATGCTTGGATTTTTTTTTCCTTACAGAAAGATAATTCCATGTCCCTCTTTAGGTTCAAGCACAGTGTAGACTTGAGGCTTCCTACAAGGATTCTCACCCTTGTACAGCTCCAATAACTTCCTTGTGCCATTTTCTCTTTGAATTAAACATAATTTGTCCCCATGTGCTATGGGATGAGAGTTCCCGACCATCCTGTATCCTCTGTCATTTTCAGAAGATTCTGTAAAGGGAGTGTGATGACTGGATGGTGGAACTTCCAGTCAAAGCATGGCAACACAGTGTATATCCCCCCAATTTATATTTCAGAGGGAGGAGGGAACTGAGGGGAGATGGGGTTGGGAACTGTAGGGGGAAGGACAGATCTGGGGAAGGCTCAGAATCCTGTTCTGGAAAAACCTCCATCTATCAGAGAGCTAGAGTTATGGATAGAATTAGAGCCAGGGAAGGTAAATATTAACAGATGATAGATAGATTGCAACCAGTTCACTTAGTATTACAACATATTTTAAATAATTTAGGAAAAGTTAATTTGTTTCTTTGTGTAAATGTTAACAAAGTGATTGTGCCATCATATATCTTCCCCACATCCTACCTAGTCATACAAAAACAAAGCAGAAAAGCAAAAGAATTTCTCAACCAGCAAGAGCTTGCTGATAGCAGCAAGACCAATAAATCTCCCAGAGTTAATGGGATTTTGCTTTAATTTTTAATAGCAAAAAGTTAACAAGAAAAGGGACCCACAATAGAGACATTACACAAGAGTGGGCAAATAGTTTACGATCAGTATAATATTGCATGCTTTAGAAATGCCAAACTTTAAATAAAAGAATATAAGTAAGTACTGCTGTTAATTATGGTAGTAATGTATTAATATGAACTTGAATTCAACTAAATGTATTTAATCCAGATATACATTTTGGTGCAGCCTTCCTCAACCTGGTATCTTGCAGATATGTTGGGATTACAACTCACAGTTCTGGGAATCTTAGTCTTTACATTGATTCATGTATGGAGGGGCCATGTTGGGCGAGAATGTTTTGACGTGTAAAGCAAAATAAAATAAAATATGAGTGATAACATTCAGAAATCCTAATTTACATTCCTAGCAAATTAGCAACAACGGTTCATATTTATAGAGATACTATGAATCCATATTAGCTTTGATTTGCTCAAGACAAGAACATTCTTGTCCCTGCAAAGCAAAGAGAAAGAAAGATGACTAGGTAGTATATGTAGCACTAGAAGAATTATTTATGTCACACTTTGGATATGTTATTTTTCTACAAACGCATATGTGTGTTGATGTAAAGCAGGCAAACATTCATAAACATGGTTTAAGAAGGTGCCATTCTTCCATTCTTCTCCAACGTGGTTTTCTTTTCACTGTCTGACAGAGTAAAGAGTAGCATGGAACTTCTACATATAAAATGCCATTTATCTCTGTTTTTAATGACCATATGTTTTTACACTGGTCTGGTTGAAATGGGTTTCTATTGTCGCTTTGAAATAAAATATTTTGTATACTGATTTTAAATGCTTTTTATTTCCAATTTTTATTCTAAACAATGGCATAAACATTTTAAATAAGCAAACAGGATAGCTAAAATGTGGAATGCTTCATTTTCTATCTTGGTGTAGCTTCCTCTTAGGGTTCTGTTACCCTTCTGTCACTTATTTATAAATAATATTGCATCAGAACAAACACTGCATTTTTGTATTCTTGCTAGACATTGTAGTTTTGGAAATTGTAGGGTAGATTTTCAGAACTAGCGTAGGTAGTAATTTTCACAAGTGGATGTGATTAAGACTTCAAGACACTACTTGGCCACCTCTTAAGGAAAGCAAATACTAGAACCTTTCCCTTCATCCTGAAGAATTTCACAAACATGTTCTTTTCACTGAAAAAAAAAAAAAGATTAAAACAAGGCAGAAGAAAAAAGGCAGAATAAATTTTTAACACAGTACTGCTAGAGAGCATGAAGTATGTGTGACATTTTTGACATAGCTAAATTTCTTATTTAATTTGACTTTTAGTATTGGTACTGTATGCTAATGAGCTTAACTATTTGCTCACTGCTAAGGAGACCTTTTATAGATGTGTTTCTACATTATTATTTTCTTCCCCAGTTCTGCAAGTACTGCAAGTGATTACAGAAAAAGAAGGAAGTCAGAGCCTGCGGTAACTCATCAGAAAGTCCACACAGATCAGAATGCAAATCGTTCCACTCTTGGTCGTACAGATACACAGAGCACCTATTCAACACTTCGGAAGCCTGTTACAACCTCTTCTCCATCTTCTCCGTCAAGAGCAAAAGGTAAGAAATGAACACAAGCAGGAATAATTATTCATGAATTACAAAATAAGCAGGAATAATTAATTATTCATGAATTACAAAACAATATGAACGGATTCCAAATGCTACTTGACAATCAAAATTCCCCACTCCAATTTGCAAAGGAGGAGAAATCCAGTATTTATATTCATATTAATCTCCTAATCTAGAAATGTCAGAAAGTCATATGAAGATTTCGTAGCCTTTTCTTTTTTAAAAAAAAAAGCTGATTAAAAGCTTAAAAAAACTTAAAAGTTGATTAATTATTCTTCATCAGCTAAGTTGAGATAAGACAGGGCTTGGTGGCATTTATCCTCCCAGAAATAATTTTATCTTTTAAAGTGTGATTGTCATACACCACTAAATCAAGACATAAATCACAAACATAAATGTGCCCAAAGGAAATGAAGTCTGTATACCTCCTAATGTTTAGTAAATGAATTATCCCTTTTTAATAACCGAATAGGAAATTGAATTACTGTCTGTGGCAAATGTTTATGGGAAATGAACTATTAACACAGGCCAGTTCGGGTGGTTTAGTAAAACCTTCCAGCTATGCACTCAGTAAGGGTTTATTTCTGCCATATACTATTTCAGCAGTACTTTCATGTCTTACGTATATGCTAATGTTTCCTGGTTATTGTAATATGTTCCTATAGCACCAGAAGTGTTTCTTTTGGTTCCCCACACCCTTGCAATGCCACCATAATGATTCAAAATTTTACATTGACAAAGGCAGCCATGTACCATTTACCCAATTGGAATATGACTTTTTTTCCCCAAATAATTACCCAAGGGTGTCTGCAGGGTATGGTTTTAAAAAAAAGCCAAGATGACCATAACAGCGCAATTGAAGCTCCACCTGACTTTTTAGGTGTGTCACTTTGATTGCACCATCATAGCTGCCATCTTGACTTTTTGGACCAGACTAATGCAGACATCCTCGTAATTGTGAAATGGGGAAGGGAGAGTAAAGATTATCTTAGAGTTGCTGAGAAGAATAGACAAGACTGTTGAAGATAAACAAATGGGTGAAGATTAGCCGTTGTGTGGGAGAGGCTGTTTGTCTGTGGAATTAGTCTTTGTTGTAATACCTAAAAAGACCTTTATTTTTTCTTTTCATCCTTATTTAGGTACATCTGTTTGCCCTAATTCCATCCAGCTTTGTTCTCTCTATCCTTTTTCCTTCTTGTCCCTTTCCCAACACAGCTACCCCTCCCCTTTAACCCATTTATATTCTATTTTTTGCTTCTGCCTTCTTTTTTCTTTTTTGCTGTTTATGTTGGAAAGAGGGAGGGGTGTATGTGCACACACATGTAAGAGTACTTTATGGTGAGAGAAGGAACGGTTGCAATGCATATGTATATAGAGGGTCCATTGACTTCATAAATGGGGTCTTTGTTTTATAGGCAGTTAAAAATATAGTATTCAGTCAAATAATATAAATGTAGGTTTTTTTTCCTGGACCTATCTTTTTTGGAGTTTGGCTTCTGGCAGGTATGTGTGTATGTATGTGTGTGCGTGTGTGTGTCTATGTGCATGTGTGTGTACACACACACACACACACACGTGTGTATCATTTGCACACATTCATTGCAATCTCTAATATAGGTTTCAACTAAAGCTGACAATCCTTGGTTGAAAAAGTGGGAAAGCTAGGCATTGCACATGATTTTTGTCAGTGTTTATGATTTTTTTTAATCTGCTCTTCCTTTGGATTGTCTTCCTTTTGGGTTAAAATGGCAGATGGTTCCCATCTGAAAATACTATATATATGATATAGTGAATGGATCAATACCAGGACCTTTGCATTTTTCTGCCTGAATCTTTATCATTTGTTACAGGGTTTATTTGTGTGTTACTATTTATTTATACAAAAAGCAGCCTAAAATCTGAGGCCTTTAAGATACTTTCTTCTAATTATTATTTAATTACACGCCAATTTAACATTTAACATGTTTCTTTTTTTAATATCTCAGGATACAGAATTAGTAATTAGTATTAATACTGGGTTAATATTATTTTAGGCAAGATGGGATAATTGTATATATTTGCAACATTTTCTATGTAGTATTCCAGAATCTGTGTTAGTGGCTTGGGCAAATAGCACAAGTTAGTATTTGCTGGACATTCTCTACTGTTTCATGCCGCTGGAACAGAAGATTTGTCTACATTCAAATGTTCAAAACGAGGATGCTTTCAAATGTGCAAATATACAGCCTTGGCCAATCTAATCCAGGCAATGGATTCTGGAAAGTTATGGATAGGTGTCTTAAATTCTGCTTTTTCCCAAACTGATGATCTTCAAATCTTGAACGACAACCCCCATCATTCCCATTGTTACCACAATTGTATTCCAGCATGTCTGGAATGCACTTGGTTGGGAGAAGCTGTCCTCAGTTAACTATTTTCTCTTCCCTGTAAATCCATTGATTAAAGTTTTTAGCTTAAAAACTTCCCCTTTGTTCACTATGTTAAATTATAGACATTACCAATCCAAGAGAACAACTAGAGAAAGAATAGAGAAAGGTAAAAACAAAATATCAAGGGTGGAGGAGGAAAGAAAGAGAGTGTGGGGAAAAATGGAAATCAAAGGAGAAACTTAATTTAAAATGGAAAAAACACCAAAGGGGTACAAAGTTATTGTAGGCTACCTATTTTCTAAACTGTTCCAAATTCTTCCAAAGGGGTACGTCTATATCTGGGTTTCTATTAGGCTGTTTTTCTTTTTTTATGTATAATTTTTATTGAACGCTTTTACATAATTAAAAGATAAACAAGAAAAAATATACAAAAGGAAAGCAGAAAAAGAAAGAAGATAAAGGAAAAGGTGCTAGAAACAGTACAGATAAAGAAAGAAAAAGAAAATTTAAAAAGTGGCTTCCAATCTTCTTTATGGCAGTTACAAACTTTTACCATTTCTCCCCCTTTAGAGTTACATTATATAGTTCCCTTCTTCCCATATTCAACCCTTTTAATCAGCAAATCCAGAAATCACCAGTTCATTTTTGTCCATTTTCAGCAATCTATTGGGCTGTTTTTCCATTTTCATTTTATTGCCTGGATCAGATTTCTGAACAGGAGGTACAATTAAAATTTGTTAGTTATCTTACCTTAAAGACTGACAAAGATGATAATGCAGATCCACAGTTTTATATCATGACAGAAATGAAATTGGATGAGGGAGCTTGGATGAGAAATGATTTTCCATTTCAAAAATTTAAAGACATATAGAAGGCTTTTATTATTAGATAACTTTCTATATTAACAGTACAATCTAAAAATTAGCTTGATGGTTATGGTGTGTTTTGAGAATAAATACTATGTAATAATGGTTAACTCTGTGTTAGGAAAATCAACGTGCTTTCCGCCCTGGTTTCTTTCTGGAATGTATTAATTGTTATTTTTCTATCTATTTTTGAATTTGTTAATTTCTGGCAATGTCTCTTTTTCACCATGCTGCTCTGTGGATTATAAAGGTGGGGATATTAGCAAAATATATTCCTCCCTTTCCAGTTATTCAGTCCCCAACCAGAACACCTCAAACGATTTAGATTATTGTAGAAATTACGGGCAGCAATTAGCTGTCCCAAGCGACTCACGAAGAGCCATCAGCTACAAGAATGGCTGGCAAATGGCCCGTCAGAATGCAGAAGTCTGGAGCAGCACTGAAGAAACGTCCTCTCCCAAACGTAAATCTCGCAGCTACGACGACCTACTAGCTGATGATCATTGTCGCTTCTCTGAGACACAGAATAAATCTGAAAGCATGGTGTCTCTGTTATGTGCAGACAATTCCAAAGGTGATTCCTCCCTCACCTGGGCTTCCCCATATTCTTCTGAGAGTCGTGGTTTCAGTCGGTCGAGGGCGCATCTTAGGTCTGCCCATGATGCTCCTGGATTCCTAAAAATGTACAAAAGAATGCACCGCATCAATCGCAAAGACTTGCTTAATTCCGAGGTGATCTGTTCTGTCAAATCCAGAGTGCTACAGTATGAAAAGGAACAACATAAAAGCTTACTACGTGGTTGGAAAGAATCCTCCACTGAGGAGGTGCCGAGGGACATGGTGCCCAATAGAATATCTGAATTTGAAAAGCTAATTCAGAAATCCAAATCAATGCCAAATTTAGGGGAAGAAGCATTAGCAACTGTTAGCCTCCTAGAACCCCCTAAAAATGGCTTTTGTGCAATGAGACGTTTTTCTATTGAATCCTTGCTGGAGGAAGAAAATCAAAATAGGCACACTACTCAGGTGCAAAGGAATTACAAGTCTAAAACCCTTGTGCCAATTCACATTGAAGTCACTAGCGAGGAACCACAAAGATCTCAGATGGACTATTCAGACAGTGACCAAGATGGGGTGGTCTCTGACATGAGTGACTTCATACAGATAGAAGGCTCATCTTTTTGCAGTGAAAGTGATTTTGATCACTTTTCCTTTACATCCTCAGAAAGCTTTTATGGATCAGGCCACCACCACCACCATAAGCATCTTATCAGCTCCTGCAAAGGAAGATGCCCAGCATCATATACACGCTTCACCACCATGCTAAAGCATGAAAGGGCTAAACAGGAAACTACCCCAGAAGATCCTAGACGGCAAGATTCTGATGCCGGCCTCTCTAAAATTGCATTCCTAGTCAGCCCAGTGCCTTTCCGGAGGAAAAAAAATACAATCCCCAAAAAGCAGGCTGAAAAGACTAAATGCAAATCATCTGTCTTTGATGCCCTGGACTCTGCTCTTAAAGATATCTGTGACCAAATCAAAGCAGAAAAAAGAAGGGGAAGCTTGCCTGACAATAGTATATTGCACAGACTTATTTCTGAATTGCTTCCAGACATTCCTGAAAGGAATTCCTCCCTTAAAGCTTTTAGAAAGAGTCCCCTGCGCCAGCCTTTTCATCCACTGCCTCACGATGGTGCTGTTCACTGTCCGTTGTACCAGAATGAATGCAGAAGTTCACCTCTCAGTGCCTCTTATCAAGATGTGGATACTACCAACAACGGCAACCAGGAACATGATAATGCACTATGTTTCCAAGGTGGATTACTTCCTTTTCTCTATGCTTGTGTTTGAGTCATCCACCCTTATCCTTTTCATTTCTAGTTTGTTCCCATTACATATATGTTGTGCACTTTATACAGCCTAGAAATTGTCTGTTGTACTGTAAGTCATAGGAATGAAAAAAAAAATCAGGAAGGGAAAACAGCAACAGTGTACAAAGTTGTGTTTTTCAGACTAGCCAGCAAAGGGAAAAAGTAGCCTTTTGTTATTAGTATTTGAATAGTTACTGAAATAAGAGAGCAGTGATTCATAACAGAAATTAATTTCATACAGTGAAAAAAGATCTCTACTCAAAGAATTGATCTAATTTTCATACCAGTAATTTTTGGGGAAAAAAGTACAAAGATTTCCTAATAAAATATATGGTCACCTAAATATAAGCGTAAGATGAAATCATAATGGAAGAAGCCCATTATTTCCATCTAAGTTTACAAAATAGTTCAGCTTTGTAGAAACATAGAGTTATGGCTGTGTGAATGAAATGTTTGGCCCACTAATCTAAATGTTCATATATGCAGTGAGGGTGGCAAAACTAAAATCTACTGATTTTAAAATGGCTTCAGTGAATATTGAGAGGGACAAGTCCCATGGGATAAACCAAGGTAAGGAGTATTACAGTTGCAATTTCATCTACTTAGTGAAAGTTGATGTTTCAACAAAAATGATAATAATGAGCAAATGATCTCTATTAACAGTATAGAATAGAATCCTTCAACAATAAACTCAGTCATGGTCTCCTCTGCATATATAGCTCAACCATCCTTTGGTGGTTACCTCAGCAACAGCAGGCTATGGGTTCATCTGCTGCCCCTCACATCTTCCCCAGTGAGGCTGGGATTGGAAGCATCCTCTTCTAGTTTAAAGCTAAATCAAATTTCCTGTGATGGTGACTTTGAGCGTGGATCTGGTTATTTTAAACCAGGAGTGAGCAACGTTCAGCAATTGTTGCTAAACCACAGTTCCCAGCAGATCCCCTTGGTAAGCAATGCAGGGAATTATAGTTTAGCAACATCTGTAAAGTCACCTATTACCCCCTCATTTGAAATAAAGCAGGATCAAGCTATAATTTATACCTCTAGCTTACTGGTAAACCAACACTGCTTTACACTAGCCAGAGTTTACAGAGTTACCTACTGCTTGATTAGTTTAAAAATGGATGTGCCAGTCTCCTTTGCCCAGGAAGAATACAAAGAAAGGAGAAGAATTGAGTCCAAACCTCATTGTGCTTTTGCATCTACCATAAATCAACAGAATTATTGTGCAAAATGGGTCTAGAAGCTTATGGCTTTTCTTGCTCCATGTAAATGTAATAAATTGGTCATATTATTTAGATGTCAAGCTATATATGCATTTATGCCATTTCTTACATGCAGTAGTAATTTCTGACATGAGAGGTATAGCTAATACAAGTTGCACTTGAAACTACATTGGCTGGTGAGATTATCTTGTACCAGAATTATGTCATAAGATTCTGATTGTTAATGTCTACAGTCTTTGCCTGTCCCAAGTCACTGTTAGTTTAGAGCAATGTTTCTCAATTTTAGCAATCTTAAGAAGTGGGGACTTCAATTCCCAGAATTTCCCAGCCAGCTGGGGAATTCTGGGAGTTGAAGTCCACACATTTTAAGGTTGCCAAGTTTGAGAAACCCTGGCTTAGAGTATCATAAATACAAACCATTATTTGAAAATAACAAATAGAAGAATTATTTCTCATTTAGGATTTCTGTAAATTTGAAGTATAGACTTATGGAGCTTCTTGGAAAGTATTAATGAACTACATTATTTTTTCTTCATGTCAATGTACCGTACTTAAACAGGTATTTTCAGCTTGTCATATAATACTCTTAAGTATGTTTACTCAGCAATAGATCCACTGAATTTAATAGGACTTTTTCTCTAATAAACTTTGGGATCACACTCAGAGGGTGCAATCCTTTTTCATGGACATTTCTGTATAAACAATTGAGTTTTAAGAGCTAGAAATATAGAATTCTAGAGACCGTTTTGCCTGGAGACCAGATGATTTGTTTGACCTGTGATGGTTTTTTAAAAAAATAGCAGCAGGAGCGCTTCAGAATGACGGCGTGGCATGCAAGAAGTTTTTATCCTCTCTTTTCAGAGTCCCTTCCAAAAGGTGTCCCCAAAGCTTATTTTTTCCCCCCAAAGTTTCCCTTGCAGCAAATGGCATTTTTGGGAAAAATAGGAGAGCAGGAGAGCAGAAAAATATCACAGCTATTTATTGATAGCCCTGCACTCCTAATCTGGAGATCATCTTTCTGTGTCTACTTGTTCTAAAAGAAGCCCAGAACAGACTGTAATGTGGCAAATGTATAATCTAGTCCGGTCTAACATAAAAGAGTCAGGCATTTCTCTTCTATTGGATCACCTCAAAAATTCATTCCATCATTGTGGCATGCTTTGACACATTCCCTTGCATGTGGGTACATGTTTATTATCTTTATGGGTCAGTGCTATGCTTTCTTACCTTTTGCATCTTCAGTATCTCATTCTTCTGTTCCTCTCGAACCAAGAGTTGTAAGAATCAGAGAAGATGCTATATTGCTGGTCTTGATTTTTCTTTTTAATGCTTGAAGTTCAGTTTGAAATTGTATAAGTAGTATATGAAATATTTCCATAGCTTCTTTGTAGGCTTTTGTTTGTCAGTTTTTGTGTAATTGTCATTATGTTATTTTAATCTCAGATTCACATTAATATGAATGTAGATGTAGTTTTCTTTGAAATAAGCTTCCACAGTTATTTTTCATGAATTTTCATCCTATGGCATTTTACTTTCAGTAGACCAGGAATCTCCTGGAAACTATTCTGCTTTCACTGATGTGAATCGATGTATTCCAAAGGAAAGAAGAGGAACTCCAGACAGAGAGGTAATTGCAATAAATCATACTAAGGCAAACATGTTTGAAGCCAGAAGTGTACTTCTGAAATAACCTAGAAACCTTTAGAAGGCATTTATATGACTGCTTCTTGGCAATGCTATCTTTCATCACCCAGGGTTGCAAACAGTGCAATTGGAATAGAAAGAGAAGCAGAGCATGGACCACAATTAGGGCATTTCTGCATAAGTGCTTTGTACCATTTCAGGATTGGTTCCAGAACTGATTGATCTACCTGTTTTGAACCGCCGAATCAATTAATTTCTGAATTTGAAATTGCAGCAAAGCTGGTATTTTCCTTTGATTCCCTGTGGCTCTGCAGCCCTTCTGGGCTTTTCATTTCCCCGCTATTGGCAGGAATTCTTTCATCATTTGACTGAGCTGTTCTTTCTCTGCTCAGTTCCCTAGAGATTTGGAATCTTGTTCTTGGAGTTTTCTTTTTCTATATGCGCTGATTAGAACTTGTCTTTCCCTTTTGCCTTCCTCCAATTCACACATTATACAGTACATGCAACTATGATCACAGTTGTTCAGACAGATGCCCTAAATTGCCAAGCCACTTGCATTCCATCTCACAGGGCTTTGAGGTTGAACCAAGGAACAGTGACAAGGTGATCAGGAAGTCTTTAGTGGATTTCAGTCCCTTTGCTTTTTTACAGTTGATTAGACTGGCTTGTGATGATTTGTGTATATCCTCTGCATTTTGAGGTCAAGAAAAGTGAAGATAATTGCAGGTTGCTTTCAAACTCCTTTGTGAGGGATTGGATGATAGAAAGAGTATGCAATGGAACTGCAGATGAAAGTTGAAACCAAAATTGCAACATGTGTTTAACAAGCAATTAATGTCAGTACATTTTTAGGGCCTCCCAAGAGGTACCCAATGCTCACACAGAAAAGAAACCAAAACCCAATAAAAGCACTCAGCTCCCTTCTAAGATACCAAAACCAGCTCCTTTTGCTGATGCTGCTCCTTGGGCCTTTACTATCTAAAAGTCAGAACAACTTTGAGTCAGTGAATCTCAGGCCTTCTCTCAGAGTTTCTGCTCCTTCTGCTGGGAAAGCAGAAATGGTGAATCCCTCCTTTTACCCAATAAAATCAATATTTTAACAATATTTGAAATATAAATGTAGGCCTGTAAGTCTCCGTACAGAGATTCGTTAATATTTCTCATGGAATATGCTTACTTTCACTGTAGCTATACTAAAAATTATTACTATCAAGGGTGTCCGAAGATAGTTTCATTATATAAGGGCCCAACATGTACCAGTAAATTGGAACCAAATCTTAATTAGTAAATACTGCTACTGAATAGGCTGGTACTTCCTCTTCCCGGCTACCATAAAAGCAGGTTATCTAGGATTACATGGAGGGACCATGAAGTAGAGCCATCCTGCAACAGTTACTTAAATGCAAGTGTAGGTAGCATACAAAGCATATGCAGCCCCACAGCCCATTTTTGGCTATCACCAGAAGGGCATAATCTTCCATATGTATATGTTTTCAACAATAACAAGGAACCAAAATTTGCTAAACCACCTGACACACCCATGTGATATAATGTGTTCTGTATAGACATCCCCAATTTTTTTAAAAACAAATGACAATTTCAACATTGTCCCCTCCAAAAACACTGAATTACCGATATGTCCCCTGCAGCCCTTGGAAGCCAAATTAAATGCACACAGAGAGACACAAAACCACCTCTGTGTGTGCCCCCCCATCAGAAAAATGTTCCTCATTGCAACTGGAAACAAATATACCAAACCCAGACACCTTAAATGTGGCCACAGATTTCATAGAATAGAGTCTGACCCTGAGTGAAGTCTTCCAAAGCTGTTTCTAGTAATACTCAGTATTCATTTTAAGACTTCAGCCAAGAAGTTTCAATTAGCTTAGATAAAATAGTGTGTGCTTTCAATTTTGCAATCTGTTGGAATACTCAGTGCTTGTCTATTCAAGTACTAACCAGGACTGACCAGTTTGAACTTCTGAGATCAGCCAAGGTCAGCTCTGTGCTGCTACGTATCTGCTGAGGCATGTTTATTAATGCATATTGTTCAATTTTACATATTATTTTAAATGTTATTTAGATTCATTTCTTTGCTTCTATTTCAGAGACTGCCAGCTAGAGCAGTATATGATTTTAAGGCTCAGACCTCTAAGTAAGTATTAGTCCCTTTTTTTTATCCAGAAGAATCATAATGAATGTTAAAGCAATTTTCCAAGGCAGAAAAGTATATGTACAATAGTATTATAATCGTTACAAACAAGTCTCTGTTTCTAATGTAGTTAAACTAATGTTTTACTGTTTAAGCATTCTGCAATATACAGATGTTCAATAATTTAAGTAAGTAGTCTCTGCAGTATTTAACTAATGTATGACTCATTCCCATAAAGTGTTTAGTGCATAATAAAATAGAGGATACATAAAACATTGGTTTTTAAAACTGAAATTGTTTTCTTGTATCTTATTTACCTTGGAGGGAACAATTTTACAGTGAAATAAAAGGGGCTTATATACATGTTGTTAATGTGGGATTCAAATATGCAATGTTGGTTTAATTTCATTTTTTCTTATACATTCTCACCAATATAGTTTTATTATATTGAATATATTTGATGCTATTTTATTAGCATTAAGATCGACAAAAAGTGCTTTTAGGCTGGATTCCTATAGTCTTATGAGAAAAACAATCTCTTTAAGCCTGCCAAAGTCCATAGAGGTCCAGCCTTTCTTAAAGCTGGCAGAGTCAGGACAATCTGAGGTTTGGGGTGGGATGGGGGAATGCTGTGTCAGATGCTACTTGCGCTACCGCATTCTGGACCAGTTGCAGCATCTAAGTGGTCTTCAAGGATAGCATCCTATAGAGTATGTTGCAGTAGTCCAGGTGAGAGGTGATTAAGGCATGAATTACCACGAGCGGGGCCTCCTGATTCAGAAACAGGTACAATTGGCACACAAGGTGAATTTGTGCAACAGGCCTCCTAAGTGGGCCGACCTAATTCCCTCCCCTATTCTACTAGTAGTTTGATTTTGATGAGTCTTCCGCTATTTTGTTTTCCTTCTCCCTCCTCTTTTTATGGGTCTTCCGTAACTCAATAACCTAATTCATCCTAAGGAACTCTGCAGGATAATGAGGTTCCATCAAAAACTGTAACAACAAATGTGTACATTGAAACTGAACGTATGCTTGTATTCTTTGTTACATCCCTGTACATATTCAAATAATACATAAATACCTTTTATGTGTGGCAGAAACAGTACAGGGTTGCCTATGAACTGAAAATTTCTACACCTACACAATTAAGGGAACAAGGAATGTGATATAGCAAAACTGAAGAATAAATTGCTTTATTCAAGTGGAAGACCATTTTCAGTGCTAGCTTAAAAGTTTCCTCAAATCAAATCTTCATTATGGTCATAGACCACCATAAAAATGTATACTTCCCATCCCACTCTCTGGTTTGATAGTATTTTCATCTGGTGTGTTCATCCCATCCTATCCACAAAGTGCTCCAGGAGGTCACATTTTGTGGCTGAGTTGAGTTTTCCTTCGAAGAAACCTGCTTCTTATGCCAACTCTTCTGTTTCTCTGATCGTCATTCTGACAGTGATAGTAGTGGCAAAAAAAAATTGGGGGGACAGCACAGAAAGAACCTAAAGGAAAGAGCCTTTAGTCCTAGATACAAATAACACCTATGTTGGTCTGTACATACTAAACTATTGTCGTTATCTAGATTAATATGGTTGAGGAGTGATCACAAGATAGAACATAAAACCATGCTTAAGAAAAACAGAGATAACTAGGTATTATTTCTGCAAAGGGCCAAAGCAGTTCTATATTTCATTTACCACAATTCACAGTTTGTCATTTGCAAACTATAAAGCAATCAATGTCATGTTTACAAGAAGATAAAGCTAGTTTCCTTGATAAAATAACCAAGGTTGATGTTCCATCTGAGATGTTAATCAACTTAAATCAAGAAAGTATTCAAGAAAAAGATAGTAAGCTTCTTTGTTTGACCTTATCACCAAATATAGTTTCCAACTGCTAGGTATTTCTGGTTCTTCTTTTATTGTTTAAAATAATAATCAATTAACATTCAATTCAGTTCAAAATGTAGTTACAAAGTTCAAACCTGCATCACTGTTTATAAACATTTGTTACAGAGAGCTGCCCTTTAAGAAAGGAGACACTGTCTATATCCTCAGGAAAGTGGATCAGAACTGGTATGAGGGCGAACACTACGGAAGAGTGGGGATCTTTCCTATTTCTTACGTTGAGGTTTGTCTCTACACCTGCGACAGTTGTGCATATGAGTTTTACAAATAGGCGCACAAATTGAATAGGCTGATTAAAATAACCACCATTCTCTCTTCAGAAACTTATTCCCCCAGAAAAAGCACAGCCAGCAAGACCACCACCCCCAGCACATGTTGCCGAAATTGGAGAAGCAACTGCAAAATATAATTTCAATGCAGACACAAATGTGGAACTTTCACTGAGAAAGGTATTTGCTAAGATTGGTTGTTAAAGATTGTTTGACAAAGATTCTCTGTTAAGGGGCTTATTCACCCATGTGTACATTACCCTGGGCCATATTCTGGCTTTAGGTAAAGCTACTACATCTTTCTGCTGCCCGTTTTTCTTTCTGCTAATCTTCTCTTTTTTCCTATATTGGTACCAACCCTCTTTCCCTCTCTCTCCTCCTCCTCCTCCTCCTGCCCCTCCCTTTGGTACAATGCAAATAAGAGAGTGCTGTGCAATACAGGTAGTCCTCGTTTAGTGACCACAATTGGGATCAGCACCTTGGTCATTAAGCAAAGCAGTCACTAAGTGAAACAGTGACTGTGCTTATGATCTTACTTCAGCTTTCCTTTGTTTTACAGACCTGAAAAAGTTATAAATGCAAGGATTGGTCACAAAGTTACTTTTTCATCACCTTCATAACTTCAAACAGTTGCTAAGGCAGTTGCTAAATGACGACTACCTATATACTACAGTGGTACCCCTACTTACGAAATTTTCAAGATACGATCAGCTCCAGCCCCAAAAATTTACCTCTACT